ATTTCCTATCACGGTATTAAAGTTCAATAATGATAAAACGGTAATTCTTGAATCAACGAATGTGTGAAATTGCTTAAGGTCGCCAATGGAGCCCGAGTCTAGTGTGTTGGTCGGTTAACTGTTATTTGGCATATTTTACGGTTTTAAATGCAGTATGAGGTCTGATGTTTTTATTTCATAGTTTCATGTGCATATATCACTGTTTTATTGATTATGGGTTGAATGACTGAGAACCCGATGTTGTATGTTGTCTTATTTGGCATAAATTACTAGTTGATTGTTTGTGTGTGATTTGATGATGCTGACTGAGGAAAAGGGGAATGAAAGGTTATGTAAATTGATAATTGTATAATGTGGTCAACCTGACTAGATATCCTGGGAGATGGTGGACGGACCGGGTCCGTAGGGAACCCTACCGGGATTGTGGTCTCTCATACCGGACGGGGTATGGGGAAGGCCCGTTTCATCCTCATACCAGACGGGGTATTGAGGTTTATAGTTTTGGCGCCCATACCGGACGGGGTATGGGGACGGCCCTGGAATCTGATTACGAGTGTTAAGGGTTCACGGGTAGCGGGACCCCCTATGGATCCCCATGGATACTAGTAGGCTGGTAAAAGAGGAAAAATATGTTGTGTAATGATTGAATTACAAAAGGCGTGATAAGTATTATGTTATACAGGTTATATGATTTCATGATGATGATAATGTTATTGCTTTCGTATATTGTTTTATGAATTTCACCGAGGTAAGTGGATGGTAAAGGATTTATTATTGATAAAAGGATTTGTTGTAAATTATGCTTCATTGGTCTTTTTGTGTTTTCTACCCACCTTTACCTCCGTGACGGTGAGATATTGTGATGTCTTTACTGGGCTAGTGTAGCTCATTCCTTATTTAATCATTTCAGATCAGGAAGACATTGTTCCCGAGTCCGTTCTGCAGGAAGACGACGAAGGGGACGCCTAAAGACTCCATAGTCATATTCATAGCTTTTACTTTCGAGTTTCTCTTTTAGTTAGTTTGATCTTTTATATTTTGAGCACGTTTTTGATTTTAGTGTAAGGGATGTTGATCGAAATTCTGACTTCGCTTCCGCATTTGACATTTTTAATACACATATTTCATTTTAAATTTCCGGGGCCGTTACACATATCTAATAGTTGTTGGCTTCGAACAACTGAAGGACTATGATTGCGCTTGAGTTTAGATATTTTTTTGATGTGATATGAGCTATTAGAGTTTGAATGATCTAAATCCATCTCGATTAACCTAATAGGGTTTTCATTCGTGGTGGTTTGATTCAAATTCTCGCTCTTTATTCCTATCTACGCTATGATACCATGCAACAAATCAAGATTTCACTATTTATTCCTCCTAAATATCAAGGTTTATCAATAATATATGAAAGAAAAGCAAGAAAATACATTCTTCTTTTGGAGAGGCACATAGCAGAGTCACCTAAGAGAGAGAGAGAAATCCTATTAAAGTTTTCCAACTATTGATCGAATGAGAGTTTCTAGAGAAAACAAGGTATTTATACATCAGTTAATGGTGTGTACGCATAACATAGTTGCACTGCCTCTACGAGTTTAATAAAATGTTGCATTTTGGCTTTAGCTTGGCTATTGATTTAGACTTGCTCATGGTGAGCTTAGACATTTAGACATCCCAAATCCAGCAACAATTAACAAAAAGTATGTTCAATTTTTTTTTAAAAGAAGTAATTAAAAAAGATTTAATTGTATATTTATATTAGTTCATATGTTAAACTTATGAGTAATTTCGGATATTTATTTTTGAAAAATAAAAAATATAGTTAACTTGCAATCAAGCAAGACCAAATTGTATCACATTAACTAAATACAAATAAAGCTCCAAATCCTTCGAATCAAATTTTAATAAATCTTAAGCTTCTAAGATATTTATCATGGAAATCAATTAGATTTCCTTAGCAGCTTAAGATTTCCAACCTTGATCTTACATCAACAACTCCTTATATCTTAGTTCTTGGTTCTTTTGTGGTTTATTCTTTTTATTTCATTTCTTCACTTATTACTTTATATTGATTTATGTTTGGTATTCTACGTGGTTCATGTTGGCTATATGTGTTTATATATACATTCTTTAACAATCTTTTTTGCCAGATTTTTGTATTAAGGAGTAATTGTTGGTACTTGTTGGCATCTTGAATCCAATAAAATACTATTTTACAGTGAATAATATAAGGCAAAGTTTAGGTACTATAGAATTGAGGATAAACAATTAAGCATCTTGTGTTGGGAATCCTACGTAGCCCACATTTGCAAAGGAAAAAAAAAAAAGGTTTGTGATTGTTACCTACTAAAACCACTTAAAGTAAGACAAAATTAAGTTTAAAAACTTACATGGTTGGTGGAATTTTAGCCATCATCATAGCCAATCACACATTTTCTATCCAGCCAAACACTACTCTTATCGTAATCGCGGCCTTAAAATATATATGTGTGTGTATATGTATGTATGTAGTGCTTCCTCTTTACAATTTCGTTTTTTTAATTATGATTTTTGACAGGGTGCCTTTTTTTTTTTTTCTTTGTCTCTATCTTCCATCATCTTTTGAATCATCTCTCTGTGTCACACTGTGTGCGCACGCACAGACTTCTCCTTTTTTTTTTTTTGGATTTGTGATTTTATAGTGGTGCACACAAATATATGTATAATATAATATTATATGTATATGTCTATGCCGTGATGATAAAATAATATCATATTGGAGATGACTAAAGAACGAAACTTTGTGCACTTGAAATTAAGAAAACGTTGGTGGCGACAATTGGGTATATATATATACACACTTACACACACATATATATACATATACATTAAGCAGAAGGAAGTTGGCAGAAAGATCGCCTCACCTTCTACAGGTATGCAAATTCCTTCGTAGTTCTATTTGATCAACATAACAGACTATATATGTTGATCAATGTTGGCATCTATGCATATATGCATTTATATATGTATATCCGACTCACTGGGACAATATGCATGCACATGCATTAGCTCATACCACATAGCACGTTAAATTGTTCTTATGATTTTTCATATAGATTTTGAAGATACGTAGTTCTTGTAACTGGTATATATGGTTGATTTAGTATATGTATACATGGTGAGAAATAAATTTGTGTGAATATGCATGTTAGTAGGTGCAAATTTCTATGAACTCTAATTATTAATTAGCTTTTTATTATAGTCAATTAATTAATTTACTGTATTAAATAATTGGCTTTTATTATACTCATTAATTCCAAACAAATTTTCTTCAGACATTTTTATTTGAAGGATTATATCACCATTTAAGGTTTATGCCTTTGGCTTTTAAATTTCTCTTTTACTTACAAGTTAATGGGATAATTGAGATAGAAATTATATTCACAAAAATTTTAGAAAAAATTATTTTAAATAAATTTATATATTTATTAATTAAGTAATACATATACATAAATTATAAAACAATATAAATAAATAATATATATAATAGTACAATTTAATTTAAATTATAAAAAATATATATCAAAAGAAATTATATTAAGAAACTTGTAAGGAAAATTATATAACTAGTAAATTGTAACAACATATCTAAAAAACTTTATATATATACACAGACACTCCACTTAAAGAGATAAATATTAATTTAAAATTAATAAAAAATTTACTGCTTCATCTTTAAAAGTTTTGATTTTTTTTTTTTTTTTCATTCAAAATAAAAGTGGAGGACCATAAGGGCATTTTTGCCTTGAGAGACTTGAGAGAATTTCCCTTATTGATGTATCCCACAAAGAAACTTCCATAAATTGATTGCTTCATATATATCTGTATAAATATTATTAATTAATTCCCAGATTTGTTCCACCATATATATATATATATATATCATAAAAACAGTTATCTGGTGAAGAATCATGTAGACCAGGTTTATTCATATATAATTAATATATATATTTTAAAATATCAGGTTTTGTTGAAGCTTCGAATTTTCCAATACACCATTGAAAATCCATCCTGACCCTAGTGTTAGCCTATACATATATATACACACATACACGCGTATACATTGTTTCTTGGACTTATAGGAGGTTCTGTTGTTTGTATATAAAAGATTTCTGGGAGGCTAATTTGTCAATTCAATATTTGTGAATGCGATTTAATATTAATATTTTGTGCAACATATATAGTAATTTTACTGACTTAATTAACAATTTAATATAAGTTTAGGTTTCCATTAAAAAAAAAAAAACTATTTAAAACTATTAATCTCTAGTAAGTACAATCATAGTGACAGCTTTAAGAAATATATACTTGTATAAAATATATATATATATATATATTCATCAAATGATATATATCCACTCATTATAATATAATACAAATAACTTTTAATATAAAAATATAATTTAACTTGAATCAATAAAGAAAATGACCAGAGAAAAAAGAAATTGTTTATATATATATATATATAGAACATAGAAGCTGGGATTGCATGGTTTCTAATTAGTACATGAATGTCAATATAATACTCATTTGCATATGGGTATGATTTCTGGGGAAGGCTTTCCTTAATCATTTTATTATGGGTATGATATGGAGGGAAGGTTTTATTTGCATCCCTAATAAATATTGTATTAAAATTGTGTTTTTAATACAAGTCGGTTTACGTTTTCTTATATTTTATATAATATTTATAATAAATGAATCGATTTAATATAAAAATTACGAAAAATTTATTTTTAATAATCAAAATTGTTATCAATTAATTAAAATAAATAATTTGTTTTGATTCACATTGCTTGAAATTGTAGTCAAACTAATTTGTTTTCTTTTCAAAATATATTAAAAAGAGAGACTAACCTTGACTACCTTTCAATTTCCACAACTGAGGCAGGTCCATCTGCAACTTAGCAATGTTGAAAGAACTTTAAATTCAGTTCAAGCACTTTTGTCTTTGTCTTCAACTTTTTACCTTTCTAGCTTTTGGCTTTTTGTAATTTCCCACGTTCTTGAGAATATTAAAAATTAATTTGGAGTTCATTGCTTATAACTAAATAATTTCCTTCAACCAATTCAGGAACAAACGCTACCAAGCTACTTTGCACGATCGGAAAGCTATTATATCATGGCTGATGAGGTTAATGATCTGCAGCCGGCTGAGCGCAAACCGAAGATGCCATTCCTGGTTTTCTTCAAAGATGCAAGGTACATTTTTTCAGTTTCTTGAATATTCAGACTTGTTCTTGAGAGGGTCAAGTTGTTAGATTTCGATTGATGTTTTCTAAGTTTGCAAGATCTCTTTTCTGTAGGCTTGTGTTTAAGATGGATCCACTTGGTCTCGAAATTCTGAGGATTGCATTCCCTGCAGCCATGGCATTAGCAGCTGATCCAATTGCTTCTCTGATTGACACAGCATTTATTGGACATATCGGTACTCATCTATCTTCTAAACTCTTTTTGGTTAACTTAACATTATATATATTTCAACTATTAGCAAACAAGTGTCACTTGTAAGTTAAGTCAGAGTTCACTGCATTCATATAAAGTTACAAGAATTTTGCTTGTGAATCTCCTTATCCTATAATATTTTTATACTTCACTATACTGAGAATAAAATGTAATTGAAATTGTATATAGTTCAAAAATAATAATATCAGTCAAGATGTTAGTACATTTGTTAGCAAACATTACTTATAAGTTAATGTTCAATTACCTCAAATGAGTTTATGAGAATTTTTTCTTGTGAATTTTCTTACTCTAATATATGTGTAATACTTTATTATACGTGAGATAGGAATGTGATTAAAAACCATATAAATCAAAAACCGTCAATCTATTAGTAGGGTTTAATTTCTTTATATGAAGTTATACAAGAATTTTTCTTGTGAATCTTCGGATTCTAACATATATAACACTTTATTACACGTGAGACAGAAATGTGATTAGTATGAGGTTCAATAATGTGTAACAATATTATTAATCTGATTTTACAACTGTATTTAGGGCCAGTGGAGCTTGCTGCTGTAGGAGTTTCCATTGCCATATTCAATCAAGCTTCGAGAATTACAATATTCCCTCTGGTTAGCATTACGACTTCATTTGTTGCAGAGGAAGATACAGTCGGAAAAATCAGTATGGAGGCATCAAAAGCTGAGAAAATTAATGATAAGTGTTCGCCAAAAAGCACTGAAATGAAGGAACTGATAACAGAAGATGTGACTGCGGACAAATTAGAAAGAGGTGCCACCACAAGTGTTGCTGGAACAAAAGAGTCAATGCAAGAAACTGGTATTCTCACTTCCCCCTTTCTTAACATATATATATTTATATGAACTCTTGAATTTAGGCTATATCTAGCACTGTAAATATAGGTAAGAAAAGCAGTGAGAAGGCTATATCTAAAGGCGAAAGGCGATACGTCCCTTCAGCATCAACAGCACTTGTAATTGGAGCAATTCTGGGTCTGTTACAAGCTATATTCCTTATATTCACAGCAAAATTTCTCTTGGGTATCATGGGTGTTAAATCAGTAAGTTTCTTCACTGCAAAAACCTGTTAATTTGTAAAATAATACTTGGGTATCAAACAAAAGCCAAATAGTTTAACTTCGTAGGCAATCGAATTACAATTAATTTGATCTAAGAGTAGATTTACTGAATTATGAGGTAACTTAATCAAGAAACTTTATGATGTGCATAAATAATTGCAATTCTGATTGTTATTAAACAGGGCTCCCCTATGCTAAAACCAGCTTTAAAGTATTTGACATTACGATCACTCGGTGCTCCTGCTGTTCTTCTGTCGCTTGCGATGCAAGGCATCTTTCGAGGATTTAAGGATACAAAAACTCCATTGTTTGCTACTGGTAGGAATTAAAAAAATTTGTATTCTTCTTCCTTTTTCTGAATATTACATTCACATGAATAAAATAATTTTTTTTAATATTGTAAAAACTTATTTTTTGGTGTAACAGTCGCGGGGGATCTAACAAATATCATCTTAGACCCGATATTTATCTTTGTTTGCCGTCTTGGTGTTAGTGGTGCAGCCATTGCACATGTTCTTTCTCAGTAAGTTTGTATCATCCCTCATATTGATTTCTTTTTTCTAATTCTGAATCATCTCTATGATATTATAATCTTATATTAAAAAAATATATAATTTTTAAGTTTCACATAAAACCTCAAATCATACATTAATTAAGATTGAAGTTTGAATTTTTGAGGGAAAATGGTGCTTGGGCCAGTAGTAGTTGGGTTCAAGGCGTCTCATATTATATTCGTTCATATGCCAATTCGGTAACTCTGAGCTGGTGTAATTTTGAAATTTTAAATTATAATTTGTGATTACGAGAGTCACTAGTACTTGAACCTGGGCATTGTAAGATCTGAAGCTTTTTGTTTTCTGTTTTCAATGTAATTTAAAATTCACTAAGATCTCTTGCAGGTATTTGATTTCGGTAATCTTGCTATGGAAATTGATGAAACAAGTTGATCTGATGCCTCCAAGTATTAGAGATCTACAATTTAGCCGGTTCCTTAAAAATGGTAACTAGGCTTGACAAATCCTTAATTTCCCAGAAAACAAGAACACTCGGATTTAATGATAGTCACTTGTTCTGAAACAACATTAACTTTGTACACGAGAACAGGTTTTCTGTTATTAGCCAGAGTAGTAGCTGTAACATTCTGTGTGACCTTAGCAGCATCGATGGCTGCACGTCTGGGTTCAACACCTATGGCCGCGTTCCAGATATGCTTACAGGTCTGGTTGACATCTTCGCTTCTCGCCGATGGTTTGGCTGTCGCTGGACAGGTAACTCAAGACATCCTCAATTTCAATTTATATATAATTTAAGTAGATGTTTGGAATAATTATAGGTTATACTGTACATTTTAAAATATTATTAAAATATAAATAATTGATTGGATCATCTTAAACTCATATGTTAATATTATTTTAGGCGATTCTCGCTAGTGCATTTGCTGAGAAGGATTATGAAAAAGTGACTTCTGCCGGAATCCGGGTTTTGCAGGTGTATTTAATTAATCTACTTTGTACAGAAAGAAGAATTAATATAGATTAATTTGCAGAGAAGGATTATAACAAGGATCGTTTTCTTTGACAGATGGGTTTTGTGCTAGGCGTGGGACTTGCAATTGTAGTCGGAGTTGGACTGTACTTCGGATCTGGAATATTTTCGAAAGATGCCAGCGTTCTGCACCTTATAACTATAGGCATACCAGTAAGTCTAATTAACTTTACATAAAATTATTTGTGACATTCTTAATGTAAAAATCAGCCAAAATGGTCATTGTTGTTTCTATAGTTCGTCGCAGCAACTCAACCGATCAATTCGTTGGCTTTTGTTTTCGATGGAGTGAATTTTGGAGCATCTGATTTTGCATATACTGCCTACTCCATGGCAAGTTCATGAATTTAACCCCTTCTTTTTTTTATGCTTACACACACATACATACAGAAAATTTCTATATAAAGCATTACGAGTCTAAGTTTTTTCTTGTTGTTCAGGTGCTTGTGGCAATAGCCAGCATTGTCTCCTTGTTCTTTCTCTCTGCTAGCAATGGTTTTGTTGGAATTTGGATTGCTTTAACCATTTACATGGTTCTCCGTACATTTGCTGGCGTATGGAGGTAATTTATTTTACTCCCATATATATATATATATATACATATTTGTAGCCATGTTTCTTGTATAGGTTATGGTTTAATTGTTAGTAAAAGATATGATTCCACATCGACCAAATATGAAAAAAATTTGGAAACACTAAATGATATAATCCGACAGAGGATGTAAAGATCTGATTGCTGAATTTTGCAGGATGGGAACTGGAAGTGGACCCTGGCGATTTCTCAAAGGTTCATCATTATTACCATAAGCTTTTATGTTATAACAACTCCTATCTACCTATATATATATATATATATATATATATATATATATATATAAGTTTTACCTCTCTGTTTTTGTTTGTTTTTCTAGAGGATTTGTTGTGAGACATATACATATATATATATATATACACATATATGTATACAGCTTAATTTCTGTTCTCTTGTACCCCGAATTGAACTCATAATTTACAGTCTAGGCGTTTTTTCTTTTCTTTTTTTTGTATACGTCTGTTGAGAGGATTATTTATTTGAAATATACAGTTTCAGTTTTTGCTGCTGCAACGAGTTTTAATTATTATCTTATAAGGATTTTATTCCACATGTAGGATTTTAGAACTGAAGTATTCAAAATGTCTGTCCAATCACTAAAAAATGAAACAATATGTATATATATATTTTTTATTTATATATGTACACACATTTGTAGAGTTTTAAACAACGTAATTGAACTAATATTCAAAAGCTTGAACTCATAGTATCATAATCTAAATTCTGATATTTGAATCATATAGACTTCTATACTTGCTAAATAATCTGTTACATATGTGGACTGATATATATATATATATATATGATTAGTGATTCTGTAATTGTTTAGTGATATAGCACATACGTGGACAAATATATATGTATATATGTGATTAATGGTTCCATACCTATTTAGTGATTTAGTACATATATTGAACGAGATATATATATATATATATATATATGCTTAATGTTTGCACACATGCTTAGTGATCTAATACATATATCGAGAGATATTTACATATATACATATATATATATATGTATGTGTGATTAGTGATTCTATACCTGTTTAGTGATCTGGTACGTACATGAATCCATATATATGTAATTAATGGTTTCATACTACTTAGTGATTTGGTACATATGTGGAGAATATATATATATATATACATATATGCGCTTAGTAGTTACATACATGCTTAGTGATTTAGTACATATATCGACATATATTTACATATATATTTTATTGATCTGGTACATATGTGAATCGATATTATGTGATTCTATGTGTTTATCCATGTTGGTGATGAGATCCCTTCTACCCTCTCTAATAGTTAACTAGAAGCAATGTCATGCAATGAAATAAAAAGTGACTCAAAATTATCCAATCCATTTTGTCATATGTCAATAAGGGGTGCGTACATGTGTGACCAAAATTCGGGGGGATAAGTGTGTCAGTGAACCTTACATTAAAAGTAGATTTCATTTATGCAATGTGGCTAGTTTGGCAAAATACTATCGTGGCATTGTGTGTATCCCTTAGAATTTTTACTCATAATTGTAGTAAAGATCCCTTCTGTCCTCACTAATGTTAGCTTGAAAATGGTATCGTACGATGAGAATTTTCTATAAAGTGATAAGTGTACATTTGTATATGAAAGTGTATTTGTGAAGGTGATATGTTCAAAGTGAAAATCTGTATTAGAAAGTGTTCTCATGAAGTGATAATTGTGCATATGATGTGATTATATGAAGTCGATGCCAATGTGTAGACCTATATGTAATTTAGTATTGAATGAAATTAAAATGTCTTTCTAAGGTGAAAGTATTAAGAGAAATTTTAGGTAAGCTCGAAAAGAAACGTGATATGAAAAACTATAAACAATGTAAATGCGAAATAAGATGTGAATTCCAAAATTTTTTTTAAAAAAGTGAAAACTCCATAAGTTTAATAGATGAATAATAAGTGCAACAATTTCAGGGGTCTAAAATTTGAATAGTTAAAATAACAAAATTTTGAAATTGAAATTGTTATGTATCCAACTTAGAAATTCATTAGTTTGAAATGTATTTGTGTATGGAAAGATCTTTTCGTGATTGCACAAGTTTCAAAATTGTATTCATTTTGAAAAACATTTGTTTCAATGCAAGTTTGATTACATATTTATAAAAGTTAGCTTATTTCCTTTTAAATGTAACATTGTTGCATTGTGTACATGTCATGAATTTTGATTGCTTGTTTTTGATTGCTGATGAGTCACCATAGTTTTCTTACTAAATATGTGAAACTCATCCCAATTCACCGTGTATTTCATATCGTTATCAGCATTTTTAGTGAGAAACATGACAAGTATTAGATATCTCACAATAGTAAATATATTAATTAATTTAAAAATAACAAAGAAATTGACAACTTTTAAAATCAAACTTCCAACATAAATATAATAAAGAAATTGGCACAACAATGACAACATATTACATAAACATAAGAATAACATGGGGCCACTTGATAGAAATAGAGCCCACTTTATTATAATAAGTAGCTAGCTAGGATACGATAACCACAAGTTTTTTCCTTTCACATCCATCGCAGTTTTTCTTCTTTCGTTTCATATTTGAAATTGAAGGAATTGACGCCAATGTAAACACCATCATCAAGATAATAAGTAGTTTGTTTTCCATTTGTAAGGGTATCACGTTGAGAGTACGAGAATGGAACATCACATTTACCTATTGTCGCGAGCAAACTCACCTTCACTATAGTCATTGGTGGTACATTAACCTTGTAAATTGTCTGTATTTCTTTTGTTTCTTGTTTTGTTTCTCCCCATTCATATGATCCCTGAAATTCAATTGACTCTTTAATAGTTCCTTCTTCGATGACTGGTACACTTGTTTTGATTTCGATTGCAATACCTAATTTCAACGAGACACTTGATTTCTAAGTATTGCTTGTAGTATTTGAATATTTCAGTGTGATTGTTGCTTCATTTTCTTGATGTGTCCTATTTGCTGCAACTCCAGTGGCCATAGTGATAACTTTCTCATCATAGATTCGAGCATCAAGGAGACGAAAGTTGACATTATAGATTTGCCTTGAAATGATAAGTTCTGAAACCTCCATCTTGGCCTCCTTAGGAATAGTTGAGACAGAAGCATTGAGACAACTTATTTTACCTTCAGTTGTGAGTCTTGCGCAATAATTGTTGTTACCCAAGTTTCGAAGAGCAGCAACATTGCTAGCAATTTTAACTGGCCAAAATAATGTGTCGGGATTATTATTGTTGGGGTTTGTTGTGTCAGCCCATATCCAGTTTGGACTACGCCTCCAAAATTTACCAAAGTAATCAGATTTCACGCGGATGCTTCCTTCTTTGGTTGTAAAAATCTCTTGACCCACAGTCGGATCTCCTAGATCATTAGATGCGTATTGGAGATACTCGTGTCCTTCAATCCAACGAGCACTCAGATACAAGCCATTGTCACCCTTAAAAGCGACATGTTTGGGAAATATTAGTAGTGACTCCCAATCAACAATTGTGCAGATATCACGCCCATCCTTTAGTGGTTCTTTAGTGCTTGCGAACAAGCAATTATTGAATGGTTCTTTTTCCATCAATAAGCAACAATAATGTTCAAGTTGGACATGGATGAATCGGACACTTTTAGAATCACCATCTACAAAAATGGGTTTAAACAACGTGCAAGACCAGTCAGATTTGTCTTCATTTCGTTGGTTAGCACCACACATAATCCACCAATGATTTTTGGACCACCTAACCCAATATTTATTGTTGTAACAACATCTCAAATGCACCAATCCACTCGTAGCCTTTTAAGGTTCTACTTCAAACTTTGAATATGGACTCGCAGCGTCTTCTCCAGAGAATTGAAGAAATGAATGTACTTAATCATCTTCATATATATAACGTAAATATTTGTCATTATACTTTGATTTAAGCACAATGTACCTTGGCAATTCCATATTCTCTATTCTCACTTGTAAAGTACCTTTTTCTTAGCTAATCTCACTTTTGTAGTTTCCAATGACAACTTTCTATAATATTTATAGTAAGTGTTCCCCAATGGAAGTAAATTTATTGGCACGTAAAAAAATGATCTCATTGTTTGTGCTTTATTTTTTCAATTGCGTAAGTAAGAAAAGGAAATATTTACTTTTTTTAACTTAGCATGTTGTACGGACCATTAATTTAGACTTAGATAAAAAAAAAAGTATGAATAATATTTAATAATGAACTATTTATAATTCTTTTATTCCAATAAATTCACCAAAGATCTTTTTTTTTTTTGGCTTTGTACCCTTTCTTTTAATAAAACATAATTAAAATTAAGTTTTAACTTTGAGATTCACCCTATTAATAATTATAAAGTTTGAACATGATCTTATCATTACATTGAAAAATTAGGTGAAAAAGATTATTTCAGTATTCCTATTCCATGAAAGAAATATATCTAATTAATAAACTTTGTGTGGCTTTGAAAATTACAATTTAGTACTTTGTAATTGGAGGTTTTTCAGATTTAGTAAATGTGATTTTTTTTTTATAACAATTTTAGTTCTTTTAGTATTAATCAGGCAAAGTATCATAGTTATTCTAGACCAGCTTGCCCTTTTTATTTTTCTTCCTCCTTTCCTTTTTTGTTTTTCTCTCTTTTCTCTTATTCTCCTTTTTTTTTAAAAAATTATTTTTCTTCTTTTTTTCGTTTTTGAACATGATTAAATAAAATCAATATTGAAATAATAAAGCTAAATTATGTTGATAACGAATTAATACTCTAAAAAATTCAAAGTAATCAAAATTTATTTATATTTTAGATTGAACAAAATTATGGTATGACAACTACTCTCTTGAACTTTTGTAAAAAGAGTAAATAAAGACTAGAATTATCTTAATTTTTTCTGAGAACTATATACTAAGATCAAATAATAGAAAATGTTAAAGTTTGTGTTTCTCTTACAAAATGCAAAGTTATTTGAGTTTTGTTTTTGAACGTATATCTTACTCATAGTTTGCTTATGTGAAATTAAAATTGATTTGAGCTTCGGTAAGCATCTCATTCATAACCTATTAATATAAAATTGAAATTGATTTGAATTTTTACTATGCATCACTCACAGTCTACTTATATGAAAGTAAAATTGAATTGAGTTCTTATTGTATATCACACTCATAACCTATTTATGAGATTAAATTTGATTTGAGATTTTTTTGTACATCTCACTTACAGCCTTATTATGAAATTGATTTGAGTTTTTACTATGTATCTCACTCACTGCTTATTCATGAAATTGAAGTTCAGTTTTGTAGCACATATTTCACTTGTAACCTACTCATGAAATTGATTTTGAGTTTTTAGTGCGCATTTCATTTGCAACCTACTTATGAAATTGAAGTTGAGCTTTTACTGTGCACCTAACTTGTAGCCTACTAATGAAATTGATTTTGAGTATTTACTGCGCATATCATTCGAAACCTACTTATGAAATTAATTTGAAGTTTTTACTATGCATCTCACTCACAATCTACTCATAAAATGAAGTGAGTTTTTATTGCACAACTCACTTGCAACCTACTTATGAAATTGAAGTTGAGGTTTTACTGTGCATATCATTCACAACCTATTCATGAAATTGATTTTAAGTTTTGCTATGCATCTGACTCACAACCTACTCATGAAATGAAGTTGAGTTTTTATTGTGCATCAGCCTACTCATGAAAATGAAGTTGAATTTTTATTATGCATCTCACTCGCAGCCTATAGATGAAATTGATTTTAAGTTTTGGTTGTTCATCTCATTCACTATTCACGCATGAAATTGAAATTAAGTTTTTCCTAAGCATCTCACTTGCAGCCTAATCATAACAGATTTTGAGCTTTTAGTTTCCATCTCACTCACAATCAACTCATCAAATTTAAGTCAATTTGAGTTTCAGTTATGCATCTTACTTACAGTCTACTCATGCATCTTGAATCCTTTACATATCATTCATAACCCATTTTGTGTAAGGCTCATACTTTTCATCATGGATTGCTTTGACTTAAAAAGTGTTGTCCATTTCCTTCCCAAATCACTCACTGAAAAGCTCAAAATGTATACATCTCGTTCATAAATCAGTCTCTTGTAATGATTTATGCATCTATCTCTGTCTTTTTTCCCATTTCTAATGATTTTCAAGCCTTAGCTAGTCTCCTTTTGTTGTCCATATAGCCAAAAGAAGAAAGGTAAAAGAAGAACCTTTAAAATTGTCTCATTTCACCTCTCAAGCTTGGACTAGACTAGGCTTATCTCCTGGGAAATGGTAGAAATGGGTCAGGTTTCTTGGTTCAATCTCTTTGTTGAGGGGTTAGGATAAAAACGAGCTTAGCCTCTCTCTTTAGGTTGGGCTTTCTTAAACTAAAGAATAAAATTTCTTGGACCTACAATAGACTTTCTTTTTTTCTCTCTTTTTTTTATTTTATTTTTCTTTTTTTATTTTTCATTTTCTGAACATGGTAAATGTAACATCCCGATCTTGGTTTAAAAAGTAAGAATGCTTGCACACCATCTCCAACTAGTGGAACCAACAAAGATGTTAATATATGCAGCATTATTGCACATTATTAAATATATCTTGTAACAAAATAAGTATTATAATTTGAAACGCATGAGGCATCAAAAAAATTATCTACGAAAGCTATCTTAAATTAATTCCTATTCATTTTACAATTTTAAACCAAAGGTTAGAAGGCTCTCCTCAGTCATTTATTGATTTTAAGACTCCTCTCGATCTTTCCTGATCTGATTTTAAGGTTCAAAATTCGATTAATTTCCCTCCTTTGTTTGGTCTCCTTATCTGACAACTCCTTCTCTGTTGCATCTTGCCGCTCTCAAGTGGCTAACTTCACACGGTCGTCTGCCCGAAGTCACCATCACCCAAACCCTCCATTATCGTTCAACTTCTTCTTCTTCTTCTTCTTCCATGTAGCTGACTTTCCTCGGCTGTCGTATCTCACTCTCTTATTTCTTTCCCTCGTGGCGACATGTCTCCCTCTCCTCTCTTCGATTTAGGCTCCCTCTAATGAAAGGAAACTCTAATCAAGTTTCCTTAAATATTCCACTTATCAGCCATTCGATCTCCTTTTAAATAATCAGGTTTGTTTATTCTGCCTCTTCACCTATGTCGTTCATTCCCATATTCGACCACTTTGATGCTTACATGATCAAATGGCCTCATCTGATTAGCTAGCTTTGACACCACTTGCTGAGGTGTCCAAACTTTTAAAATTTACATTTTGGCCCCGTTTTTCAATATTTTTTCAATCAAGTCCTCAATTTTTTAATTTTTCTTCATTTGGGTCCCAAAGCCCCTAATTTACAATTTTTAGTGCTTAAGATTTATTTTTAAATCTTTTTCGAGTTTATTAATCGACATATTTATTTAAAAATCGATTAATTTCGTATTTCCATGTGTTATAATAAAAAAATAAAAATAAATAAAAAATGAAAGTTAATAATAAAATAATAAAGTTAAATTGTGCTCATAACAAAATGAATGCTCTAACAAATTCATTAATCAAAATTATTTAGATTTTAAGCTGAATAAATATAAAGTATGATAGGGTAAAAAGATGAAGCTAATAAATAAATAGTTATCTTTTAGTTATAATATTTTTGTTTCTCTTTTTGCATCTTATATTTTATCCTTGTTAAGATTTTATTATGTATTTAAGAATTATTAGTCATGGATTAGTAGTTGTTTAATTTAGCTATTATGGAGTAGTGGAATAGTGTTGTCTTAACCATAAAGTAGTGGTCTCTTAATTTTAGCAAGTATAAATTAGTGGGTTAGTGGTTTTCTTAGTGGGTTAGTAGTCATTTATCTTTTGTAACGTTTGCTTATTTTTTTTCTATTTAAGTAGACTAATTTCATCAGTAAAAATTATTTGAGTTCAGTTCAATTCTTCTATTACTTTATTTCTACATCTGGTATCAGAGTAAGAAAAAAAAGAAAAAAACAACAATTTTTTTTTGTTCTATAGCAGCAGTAGACATCTATGGCGTCAGAGAATAGTTATGTGCAACCTGTAATCCCTCTTTTTGATTGTCATTATATCATTAGAGTATGTTGATGAAGAATTTTATCTGATCCAAAGAATATTGGGGTGTCGTGGAAATAGGAGTGCCTTAACCAACTCCTAGAGTGATGTTGACGGAAGCTCAATAGAAAAGAATAGAAGAACAAAAATTGAAGGATCTCAAGGAAAAAAATTATCTATTTCAAGCAATTGATCATGCCTTTTTGGAGACGATTCTCCAGAAAGATACTTGCAAACAGATTTGGGATTCTATGAAAAAAAATATATCAAGGCACAACAAGAGTTAAAGGCAACAACTTCAAGCCCTTAACAGAGAATTTGAAACTCTCCATATGAAGCAAGGAGAATTTGTTGATGAGTATTTCTCACGAACACGAAGATGGATATTCACCGCAAAAGAATCGAAGATGTTGCTATGGTGGAGAAGATTTTTAGATCAATGGCTCCAAAATTTTCTTATGTTGTATGTTCTATTGAGGAGTCAAAAGACCTTGATAAGCTTTCCATTGATGAATT